TTAATTGATGTTACTAGGTGTAAAATAGTGTTTTACAAACAAAACTAAATAATATTAAATATAAATTATAAATGATATAGAATTATTTATACGTATATATACGTTTTTAAATTTTTCTTATTTTATTAAAATATGTTTACAATCTGTTATTTAAAACATTAAATAAGTAATTTACAAGTTTATACATTTTTACAGCACATAAATAGGTTGAGAACGTTATTGTTCAATAACTACTCGTAATACATATATATACCTATTTATAATTAATTACTTAGTTATTGTATGGGACTATATGGAATGCCGAGAATAATATATCGATTAAAGTCCTCCTATCCTTTTTTTGTCACTTTAAATCCTTATTGTGTGTAGAGTATAGTATGAATTTATTTCGATTAAATGTCTCTATTAAGATTTAATTTCCTTTTCTTATGAAAACTTAAGCCAACACGTGTTAGTTTTTATTCTAATTTAATACCAGCTCACGAGTCATGAATATATTTTAACCGACAAAAATGTGTCCCATACATATATATATATATATATTTATATGCATATAGATACATACACATGTGTATAGAAACTCAAAACGTGTCATAATCAGAGACACGGTTTCACCGGTCGTGCCATTCAGTGGTAAACAAGAACAAACATACAAACGCCTTAGCGAGAGATTTTACCATAGTAACAGTAACACGTGATTAAATAATCTTTAACCATAATATAAGAAGCTTGGTTATACGGTAATCATGTTTATAGTTATTTTATTGGAAATTTATTCGGAAAATTATATATTTGAATCGCATAGATAAATAAAAAAGGAAATAAATAATTAATTCCAATATAATATCACTGAGTGTACAGACACTGACATGTGGCGTGATTGTGGGGGGAAAGGGGGGGGCAAGTGTCCCCTCTGACAATTTTTTGAGAGATAAAGGTATAATTTTGCCTCCCCAGATAATCCAACAGTACAAATAGCACCTTTTATTAATAAACTCTTATGGGTATTATACTTATGTAAAATCAAACAATTAGATAAAGTGTATAAAATACATACAATAAAAATATGTTTTAACTGGTGAGGGGGAGAGGTGTCAAGGTTTTGGTAATAATAAATATATTATATTGTCACCCCCCCCCCTCCTTAGATTTTTCTTTAGTTACGCCACTGGACACTGTATTATATTTTATATAAGTTACATTTTTATTGTATAGTACACTCAGAGTTGCTAAAAAAACCATAATTTATTTTAACCCATACTTTTTAATCAAGAGTATATTTACAGTATACTTGAAAATCTTTAAAATTTTAGGGGAAATAATTTCGAAAAGGATGCATACAAATAATATAAGGTTTGTTCTGTAATTCATTGTAAAAGTAAACGTAGTTCAATTAGGTAATTATGTTTCTTTAACTTTGTTTTCGCGCTATTTTTTCGACTGTTTTATTACAATTTACTTGATTTTTATTTGTTAGACAATTATTATTTTGTTTTGATAAAAATATATAAATTTATAATTGTATAATAAAAAATACCGCAATGTTTATGTAGGTGAGTAAAATTCTGAGATGACGTTATAAATATAAATATATAAACAGTTAAAAAAAAGGCATATTCTTCTTGAAAGTTATTTTCAATATTTATTAACATAACTACCTACATAAGAATTTACAATTGTAATGGTTTAATCTGGAGATGAAATTCACTGGAACAACTGTTTATACTATTTTTCGAGAGAAAAAAAATAAACTCAAAATACGTACCCGTTTTGAACAACTGTTTGTTTGTTATCCTTATGTATACAGACATTTTAATAATTATAGAATTGGACGCCGAATATTATGGATATCAAAAGAATGACGTAAAACATTCTTTATGGTCACTGATAATTTTTAATAAAACCAAATTTGTGCGCTCCTTTTTTATAATTTTATAATTTAAGAAAATTTTAACTAGAATACTGACCAAATCTGATTTTCGAAGGGTATATTAAAATATCTAGACAATTTAATTTTCCTTTCTTTTTCATTTAAAACATTCGGTAGCATTACTTCTCTCTGTGGACATACATCATTGTAGACAGTCAACATATATATATAATAGTATATGTCTGTATAGGCACCAAAAAACAACGTTTGTAGTAGGTACATGTACAGGTATAGAGAATACCTCGAATGCGATGTAGTTTACGGAAACAAGCAACGAAACGCGATCACCAACAGGTATTTTAAACTACCTATATAGTTGTTTAAAGTTTATCTAACTTAAATTCATTTAAGATTTAAACTAAAAAAAAAAAAAACACTTTATTGTAAATACTCATTTATGCGACGCCAATATCAGTTGCCGATGACGTTATTGAAAAACTATAAGTACACCCTCGAAACACGTACAATTAAACACATCTCATATACATACATTATATACCTACGGTACGGTATACGTTAAAATATTACAGATTCAGTCAGTATAAATAAAAAAAAAAGCTCAATCTAGCGCATAAAATTCATAAGCTATCGATCTGCGTTAGGAAAGTAAAACGTAAACACATCGTGTATATATAGCTATATCCGTCTAGGTTGATGTTGACATGTGATGTCTACTTGGATGTGCGTTCCTCGTGTTCGATCGAACTGCGTGTGAAAAACGTGCTCTGAACCCTGTGTATGGTAATGATCTGCACTGTCCGTTACTTTAAGGACCCGACCGGACTTAAAATTTTACCAGGGAACCGAAGTCGGACCGAACCACATTTAAACGTTAATCAAAGACTAAAATTAGACCGAACCGGACCAGTAATTAAATAACATTTAATAAAATAGACCGTGGACCGGACTGTACCTGTACCTGCAAATAGTTGAAGCGACGAATGGATCGAAAATGGAACAGTAGCTAACAAAAAGACGGTAAGTCGCTGCAGGTTTGCAGTGCAAATCCTTTGTTGTGTTTGTCGTTCGTTAGCTATTCGCATGCGTTTAACAACGGTAGTGGTCGTATTCATCGCATTCAAAAAACGATTCCAAGCGAAGGTCAGCGTAATATAGTTACCTACATAATGGTATAAGTAGTTAGGTACTGCAAGAATGTCTTATCTAACATTATGATCGTAACACAAATGTTTCACGTAATCGATAAAATCCATGTGGTCGTATAAAAAAGCGAGTTTTTTATATTATTAATTACGTTAGGGAAAAATTACGTTTGAAGAACGAAAAGAAAAAAAATTGCCAATATTCAAGAAAATAATTCTTGCTATTAACTACAAACTTTTAATAAAACAATAATATTTCGGTTAGTTATTCAAATCCAAATCTTTTGAAATTTTTATATCAAGTACAACGGCTTATAGATATGCATATGAATTTCAAACCACATAAAAATTACCTGTTTTATAATTAAAAAATCGATTACGAGACGAAATTCAACACAATTTTATAGCGTTTGTCACCGTTTTTATACCGTATATGATCAAATAAAAAAAATTACTCCTTTAGTAAATATGTCATCTATGTCGGCTTTCTGCTTTTCGTTCAAATTAGATACGCTTAACTAGAACGGTATTAAGAACATTTTTTTAGAAATAATTAAATTATTATGTACCTACATATTTTATTATTATTATTATTATATTAATGACTTAATTATATATTTAATAAATATATAATTAAGTTATATAAATATTATTTATATTGTTTATTTATAATTTACGCTTTTGTTAGACCATTACATTCCCTGTGCTGAACATCTGAAATCAAAACGAAAAAATTATGATTGCAAAAATATTTTACTGAACAATGTTGTGTACGAATATGCGTTATATGTTTCCGACGTGCCACCGTCATAATATATTGACCTAGAAAGAACAGATTTTGCGTTACCGCGGGCGTTCGTCATACTTCCTATACATTCGAAACGCACATAATAATTATGAGAACAATAATAATAATAATAAATTACGAATTTATTGGCTAAAGAGAGTGAATCGCAAATCGGACTCGCGTAATACAATTTGACAATACAACGCTATAATACACACCCGATATCTGCCTTGCAATATATTTACAATAGCATTATATTATTTCGTGTTGTAAGGGCTTGTGTTTTATTGCGAACACGTTTTTTTTACGGATCACGCGAAATAGCCGACGGATGAAATCTCACGAGTAATAAATTTGTTTCGAGTGGGTGGTCTCGATCAGATTGATTTTCGCGATCAGCAACATATTTTGGCCAATTTTCAATACTGATTCAGATAAATTTTATCCGTTCGTTAAGCCTGGTAAAAATATTACTACGAATAGTTTCATTATTGCCGTCGAATTCGGAAATACAGTGGGACGAAAGTACTGTTATTGTTAACGGCTTGGAAATCGTACAGACGTTGACCGAATCTGACGATAATCGTACTGCGGTGGAAGATATTTTTTCCGCATACGAACCGAACGCGCGCGAACAAAACATTACGTATCGCGCCCGAGTCCTAAGCTTAGGTTATTCGGGTTCCTAACCTACGGTCGCGTAATACGTTTTTCGGTGAGGTGCACAAGATGTTGGACCGTCGACGCGACGATAATGTACTTGATTCGCTGAAATAATAAACGTATAAATCCATACGTCGTTGGAATGGAAACGAGAAAAAAAAAAACGACGCGACAAAACCGAAAAAATGACATAATACCGTTCGGTCGTGTACGAACGCGTAACACATGTCGTCATCTAGGTAAAAAAAAAAAGGGGGGGGAATGGGAGAGAAAGGCGCGTGCGGCGAGTACCGCACCGCTGGAGATCATGCGCTCGCGGAACGGGACGGCCGAACGGGTGTTGTGTAGGACGTAGGGCCGGTGCAATGCGACCGCCGCCCTGGAACGCGACCGCGGTACACTTGCGCGGCACAGCGCTTAACCGCTCGGGGAACGGACGAAGGAGAAAGTTGAACTCGACCTCGGGCCGGTTAGGTTACCCAACGACCGGCGGTCGGGCGTAGTGTTACGATATTACGCGCGGACGCATCAGGCGGCGGTTGGAGTCGCGCGATCGGTATTCCAGGTGCGCGCCGTGAGCCACAGGTAACCGGACCGCGTTCAGTGTCCGCGCAGCCGCACCGGTGCAACCAATCGACCGCTGCCGCGACGCCGTCGAACGCGACAGTAATAATCGTAATCGTAACAACGTGTTGTAATAGAATTATCGTTGCGCGAGGAGAAAAAAATCCTAATACGTTTTCGGGAAAGGCTCCGAGTGGCATTCCGAGGCGTGTTTTTAATCGTACGTTTTCGGTTTTTTTTTTTTTTTTTTTCATGTTTCTCCTTTTTTTTCCGACTTCTGTACGTACCGAATAACGCGCGCGCCAAGTGCCGTAAGACGAACAGGACCGTCCGCGGTCACAGTATCATTGGCGTACCTATTTCGGTTTACCATCCGGTCGCGGTATACCGCCCTGTTTGCCATTATTCGCGATGTGCCCGCTCGTTCCGACGACCGCGGCGGTGTGACGGTTGCAACGCCGTGATCGTTTCTCTTCGTTTCTCCACCACCGTCGTCCTTTCCACTTAACATGTTCATAAAGAAACCGAAATGGATCGAAAAAGTCACAGTAGAGCCGATGCTGTTTTTGTACTTTGTCACTTTAGCTATTTCGGCGTTGGTAAGTACCGCATATACCTACTACCGTTGATCCAAGAATTCATCCCAAAATCAATGTTACCGCTAAAATAATTGCCGTTTATTGTGTTCTCGGTGCATAAACGCGCCTTGAACTAGATCCCTTCTTTTGGAAACAAACATTTAAATATCTCGATATCTTTTCGTTATCTATACTTACACGTACTTGTCGTACATCTGAATATCTCTCACATCAACCAGTACGAGCGCAACATAATTTTAGTACATTAAAGGCCACGGAAACTACCTTCGATAACTTTTGATTAAAATTGAACAATCAGTGTTATAATTTTAGTAAATGCGATTTGAATAATCACAATATTTTCTAAACGTATTTTATTTTAATTGCGAAAATTATTGATTTCAAATACCAATTACGATACGTTTAATTATTATATCATTTTTACCTAATCGATACAATATAATCGTACATATGATTATATTGTCATCACGTCCTACGAGGAAGAGAAGACAAATCTTGTAACATTTGGGTATCGAGCATTCGATTTCCTTGACAAAAGCCTATTTTCCGTTAAAAACCTGGTATACCTATTTACCTTTATAAAGATGAAAGTGAGAAAAGTATTTTTAGTGTACTAAACCGATCACGGTATTCACAATTACCTATTAAATATCGATAATTGTGTTTGTGGGCACTCACTGGGATAAGAGGACAGGCAGAATACACCTCCATATACGTAAAGTATAACATGACAAAAAACGATTACCTGAAACATGTGTTTTTGCGTTTTCGGCATATTCCTGGTAATAACCAGTAATTAATCAGTTTAGTTTTATAATGTCCGTTTATTCAGATGATTATAAATAGTAAGGAAACTTAAAAAATAGCTTTCTAACAACCGTTTAAAATTGAAAATTTGTAAACGCAATACGTGATCCATCTACAAATTAAAATTATGAGTTGTTAAAATAAAATATAGTTAAAAAAATTTTAAATTGATAACATGTATTCGGTTTTATTATTACGGCCATAAAATAAACCGTGAAAAGGTCTCCCATAGTGACGCTTTCTAAAGAATTTTTTTAAAAAAATAATACAATTATTTTCAGACACCAGCAGAGATCAAATTCAAGTATTTCGCAGGACTTCAATCATATGGTTATGGTTTTCGTTATTTTCCAGATAATCCCAAAAGTAACTTCAGAACACATAACGTATTATGTGGCAAATATCTGTATAAACGTATTTTTTCAATTACAAAATCGCAATTCTATTTCTTGTTATTTATCTGAGTTGTATAAATTAAATTAAAAATTACTAAGTACTTTGGTCTAGCATCTAATAAACAATCGGTTGATTACGCAAACAATTAAGCACTTTATGTAGTATACTTTATAAGTATACAATAAAAGTATTTGCATTTGTTGCTGATCATTGAAAATATATATATTACATATTTCCGATAAAACTACAACACTTTCTAGCTGAATTATAATAATAACATTAATCAAAAATACCTTATTCAAATGTTCAGGCCATTATTTCAATCTCAACCCTCCCCACTTCATGAAAATTTTCTGAGAAATTTAGAATTTATTTATTTTTACGCAACGTATAGACGCATCATAGACATTTTACACGTATACATTGTTGGTAAGGTTTTGATTAATTTCCGACGTTTACAAAAAAAGGTTTAGTTTTTTAACAAGATTTTAATTTGTTAATTTTTTTATTTCATAACTTATAGATTATAAAATTATTATACATATGATAGTTCTATGCGAGGATAGATCATTTTTTTTACAAATCCATGCGATTCTTTCATATTTGTTTAAAAAATCCGATCGAATTCGTTCTAAAATATAACACTGACGTATTATAGCAATTTTTCAAAACGATTTGAAACTAGACGAGTTTGTGATGAGAATAATTCGCATTACTGATTCCAATTTCTCGCGATAATATTTAACTTGTACCACGCAGAGGGGTGGACACGGTAACCAGACAACTGAAAATCTCGGTCACTCTTCGGTACCGATATTAGTTTACACGGACACAGTTGCATTTTAACATTTGAACGATTGACCTTATTCCGTACGCGGAAAATCGATTTCCAAATTAACAATATAATATATTGCAACGTTACAAAATGCGTTGAGTGCGTGTACAATAATATATACGGGTAAATAGCATATTATATGATGACCAGAACGACGCAATAATGAAATTATCGAAAACCAGATACGTACCGAAAATAGATACAGCATTCCAAATGTCATTGCGTTAGTCGCGTACCATAACCACGTTCGTTAGTTCGCTTTATACCGCTTCAATGCCCGGGAATAATGATCGACCGAGGATGAACGGATCCGGCGTGTTCACGTGCTCCTAACCGTGGGAGGGTTTGTATTGTACAAGAAGCCGAGTGCCACACGCCACGACACCAATCAAACACTGTTATTGTACGAAAAATCGGTGAAATGTTGATAGTATTAATTCAGATATTTTTAAACGACCCGAAAAATCAGAGTTGTTCGTTATCAAACTTAACTTAATATGACGGTGCATGATAAAATCAACAAAGAAGTAATAACCACCGCGAAGCGGTTTAACGCATCAAGTCGACCGTAACGTTGTACGTATGTGCTCTAAATCGAAAATCGTCGACGGCATTGACATAATTATTATACGGTTTGTGGATGTACGTAACACGCATGATGCCACAACGGTTAAGCATAAAATATAATTTAATACCCGTATATCAGTCACCGGTTTTTAACAGTTGGTTTTAGGTCATCGTTGCAATCCGTTGCTCTCCGCATCATTATAATGCAACACGTGTGTTCGTAAGAGTTCCTATATACCTGTATGTTAGACTCAAAATGTTAATTCGTATAAACATTAGTTTTTTTTTTTTTTTAATTATAATACGTACGTGTTATACACGTTTATATTCATTTTACTGTTTCAATGGATTTATATTTTTCGCTCCAACACCATTATGCGTTTTGAAACGAAAATCGATTGGTTCCCGATTGTTCGGTTGAACAGTGTTTTGGATTAAACGGCCGGCGGTAGAGCGCACGCGTGCACACGTGATGTACATAATAAACGAACGCTTTGCCGCTGGTGAAAAACTATGTTTACCGTCCGTCGGACGGGCCGAAAAATCGCTCTCCGCCATACTTAATGCGTCGTCAGGGTAAAATATTTAAGTACACAAACATCTATTATCGAATCAAAACTGAAAGGGGCCAGGCGCGGCGGTGGCGGCAACGGTCCCTTAACTTTTTTTTTTTTATTCCTCGACGACGTTTTAATTCTGAAACGAGTTTTATAAATAATCGGAAAATCGATAAAAAAAATAAAATAATACGTATCCCACGTACGCGCGCGACATGTGGCGTTCGCTGTGTGACGTTCGCCTAGCGGACGACCACGTCGAGGTGTTTTCTCGGTATCTCCACCCTCCTAAAGTGTCATGTATGTATACCGCGCGTAGCATTCGAAGTAATGATATTGTATGTTTACGCTCATCATATTAATGTACATTGGAGGGTCGTTGAACAGGAAATGGGTTGATCGCCGCGACCCCCCCCCCCCGGCGTTTCGCCGGACAAAATATGCAGAAATCGAAAAATGATGTTCGACCGCGGAAATGGCATCACATGTTTTTCGCGTAAACGCGATATCCCGAACGCTGTTCTCCTTAAACTATTTTCGATTGTTTTTTTTTTTTTTTTTTTTACATCGGCTTTTGCGAGCGCGCGTACATTTGAATACGCTTGATTCGACCGGACGTTTGCGTGTAAGTGTGTACGAAAACGTTATCGAACCTATTATCGTTATAAGGGGGTTGCACGATGGGAGGGGGGGAATGGAAATCGGTTCTTTATTATTTCGTGCTTTTTCCTGAAAAAAGAACGCATAGTTTCTAAAAACGGACCGCTCCGTCCGTTCAGGGTACACCGATGGTTTTCTATCCTAATTATGGAGAAACGGAAAACGATCGTTTGAACGTATTGCGTGTACCGTGTGCGTGGTAAACACAAAAACCTGTACCGGTTAGGAAAAGATCGAACGGACTGAGCCCGCGCGCCTGTCGGCTCGATTCGGACGTTCCCGGGTACACCGGGTGCACTCCAGAGATATCCGAGTGTCCCCGGTGGCCGTGGTCTATGATTTTCGCGTCCCCAGGCCCTATAATGTCGGACGTTTGCAGGTGGGCACGAACTTAATACTACGGAAGGGCTGTGACATAACGGCTACGTCGCAGCCGGAAGATCTGCGGGAGAAGTGCCTGAACGAGAGCTACGCGCAGGAGCTGGTGGCCAAGATCCAGTCGTGGAAGCTGAGCATCCAGTACTCGGTGCCGCTGGTGTTCATACTGTTCGCGGGCCCGTGGAGCGACACACACGGCCGCCGGCGCCGGCCGCTCATGTTCATACCGATCGCGGGCCAGCTGCTGACGGACGCGTTCAACATGCTCAACGTGTACAACTGGCACTGGTCGCCCACCGTGGCCGCCGTGTCCGAGTGCCTTGTGCCCGCGCTCACCGGGTCGCGCATATGCTGCGTGGTGGGCGTCGCGTCCTACGTGGCCGACATCACGCGCGTCGAGGACCGCACCAAGCGCATCGGCATGCTCATGTCGCTGTACTTCATCGCCACGCCGATCGGCGCGTGCACCGCCGGCTTCCTGAACGTCAACATCGGGTTCTACGGCACGTTCGCCGTGTGCATAGCGATGAACTGCCTGGCGCTGGCGCTGGGCGCCGCGCTCATCGAGGACACGTCCGTGCCGTACGAGAACGCGTCCGTCTGGCAGACGATCAACCCTAAGGTGATCGCCGACTCCGTACGCGTGCTGGTCAAGAAACGGCCCAGCCGCAAGCTGCTCGTGTACATGACCGTCGTGTCGCCGCTCACCATCGGGCCCATGCAAGGTACGATTGTTTCAATACAAACGTCATTATTATTATTCGTTGTTTAAACAAAAAATAAACAAAATGCGTACGTTTCATGATCTTATATCTAAGTCCAAGTCACTACTTTCACCGGTTTTGTCATTGTTTGCAACGTTTTTCTCTTGTCCGAATTCTAAATCCAACAAACATTGTAGGTACCTATGTGTGAAGAAAGCGCATACGTTTTCTTATTACATTGCTTTCGAAGGGTTGAAATTAGTGGGTAGGAATCTAATTAGCATGATTCGATCAGTAAAAGATTCTTTCGGGAAAAGATTAGTATTAATGCGCGATGATTTTCGAGTGTAAAAGTGTATAGTCGGTATTTGATCTCTCATGCCTTGGAATAGCTACGAAGAAAAGTAAAATTAAGATAAATCGGACATTTTCGGACTTAGAGTATCTAAGATGAAGGATTCTGGAGCGACATCATGCCAGTTGTAAACATTGATTTTCCGTGCTTTAGGGGGGGGGGGGGGTGATATAAACTTTTGGAATATGACAAATGAATATACGAATTTGAAACGAATACCATAACAATATTTTAACACTCGTTTTAAATATAATTATTAATTTTCTACCCGCATGAACGCCAGCGAAACCTATCTGTACCTATACTGGTTGGTCATTCGTGTATCCCTGGTCATTATAGAGACTAGGAGAAATTGTATTTGATAATCGAAAAATATTGCACAATTTGTACGATGACGAAGAGTAAGAACGGAAACACTAACAATTTAAACCATAAAAGTACCTATTACAATGTACCACACAACGCCCGTAGAAATACATTAATAATTGATACTATTTAAGGAAACTTTAAATAATATTATTTTATCCATAAACGGCATGTTTTAGTGATACATATATTGTTTGGCTGTTTGAAAATTGAAGTTTGCGACGGAAAGCATTTTTAAAAGCTTAGAAAATTATGTAAATAAGAAATTGAGAAATTATATTAGAATATAATTATTGAAATTAAGTTTATGTTAAAAATAACAGTATTTAGTTAATAATTATATGTCCTATGCTGTATACGCAACTTAATATAAAACCGATATGATTGTAAAATCGTATACGATTATGCTGTATACGTTATAGATTTTGAAAAACTTAACAGTTCTATGATCGAAACCAGAATGTTTGATAACATATGCTACGTTTATCTTTTCAACAAACTTTTCCTTCTAAAATTAAGTGTTCCGGCAGCGCAAACAAATCTAATCGATTTTCGTTTTCACCGAATGGCGGTTTATCCGTAAAACTGTTGATATACTACGTTGGCCGTCATGGTTAGGTTTTTATAAATTAAAATGATTCTGCGAATACAGATGAAACAAAATTATAGAATTATTTTGATCTCAGAATATATGGTACATCATTAAAATAATACACCATCCGATAATTAAAATCCGAATTTTCATGTTATTTTCCATTACTTTTCATAAAACGCAATATTTGTATATTCGTGCGACTAACAAATGGTAAATATAGTTTATTTGTAGCGTTTTTAAATGATACAGTTTAGAGCCAGAAAACAAAGTACATCAACACGTACCCTTTTTTTTAGTACGACAATCGTGTATTTCACACACCTGTTGCTCACGATTTTTCAAATTCAATATAATTTCATATGATTATTCGAACATGTTCTAGAACTGGAAATAATTTCACTATTTTTAAGGAATACGATACTTGACAAGGAGTTGTCATGTAATTGTAGATGTTAAACGCATAAAGTTCATTGTTCGCACTTAACTTCTTACGCACTTATAATAAACTCTCCGAAAAAATGGGATTATTCAAATAACCCTATAACTTTCTTCACCGGTTATCGTTACTGAAATACCAGAAAAAACAATATTATAATACACGTACACTGTACAGGTTAAACACGGAGACAACATGAAAAATTGGCTGTTTAAGATCGGTTGGCAGAAAATAGTAGTAGAATATTACCAGAAATATGTTTATGTTAAGATTAAGTATTACGATAAAAAATGTATTTAACTTTTTTTTTTATTTGTTTATTTTTTATATATATTTTGAGGCTTTAATTACATGTGTTTGCATTCTCATATTTTTTAGGTTTTCTTTGGTAATTTCGATCATTTTCAAAGCATCAACATCCGGGCCTTAGTTATATTATTATAAAATAAAAATACACTTATTACCTATAGTGTAAATAAAAAATAAAATAAAACTTTGAAAAAAAATCTAAGGAGTGATACTAAGCCACCACATCATGAATTGGTACTAAGGCTGCACTTGAGCCCCTCGTTCGTATTAGCCACCTATGACGACGGGTGTTAAGGTGGGTACGATCGTACGACACAAACGCGTATTGTCACGTACTCGGGTGAGCGTGATGAGTCGTTAGTACACATACGGGTATCGCAAAGTTCCCTAAACCTGGATCCACGAATACACCCGAGGGGACATTTGTGGTGGGATCATCCTCTTTGGAAAAACATTACATAAATAAATAATAATGAGTTTTATTTTACGATTTTTTTTCCCCCATAAAGTTCGAACTGAGCGGGATACTATTTCGATTTAGGCATTTGTTTATTACTATTATTTTACGTCGTGTGCGATTTTTGGAAATTATGATTTACTGCAGTCGTGCATACTACGTGATTATTACGAAAACTGTTGAGTTTTATTACTCTGTTTGAAAGAGGACGTTTTGATCATTTTTTTGACGATCTCTTTAGTGTCGGAATAAAAAAGCAATATTTTAGGGAAACGGTTTAACCATACGATCACGGTTGCACTTGTAATGACAAGCAGCTATCACTAAGAAGATTTGTTACGGTCAATAATCCTTCGGGCGATTTCGATAACCTACTGGTTTATTCGAAACGTAGAATTGTACAAAGATTTATAAATACTGACTACTATAAAATTCTTTGGTCACTTTCGTCGCCACGATATTGTAAGTTATTAGTTCATTTTTATTTACATACACACTTGTTATGCAAGTTTTCACTTGATATTTATCTTTAAAATTATGAATCTATCCCCTTGAATGCTTTAATTTAATATATTTATGGCAAACATATACATTTTTAAAATTAAGTTTGAGTCGGGAAAACTTTTTATTAATTAAAAAAAAATAGGGAAGAGAGAATCTATAAAACTTAATTTTTAAATGTTATAAAATGATCTGTGGATTTTCAAAGAACAAATTACAAAGTGTACTACGAAAAATTCCTTGAGTATTATAAAGCTATCCCACGTGAAAAAATTATTTTTTAAGATTTTATCTTTATAGCTCATTATTGTTATTCAAATTATATATTAATTAAGTGTTTATCAAGTGAAACTTAACGAAATTACGACGGCTTTGTAAACGATCTCGTATACTAGTTATTAAAAGATGTACATTTATTTTCACGTTAACCAAACGAAGATTATTGCTCCTGCGTATGAAGTTTTCAATCAAAAAATCAAACCGAAAAATTGTATACTCCATTAATTATTATACAATCGTTTTTTTCAATATTTATTTTGTACTTCGCTCGCCACCGTATTATTATTATTATTATTCGTGCGACAAAAGCGAAACGTGCTTAAATATAATAATATTATTATTATGTACGCGCCATTGTGTATTCGCCGCACGAGGAGAATACATAAACCGTACGCGGTGATGCCCAAAGCCGATTACGGTACAATATGGAAATATTCCGATGACAAACTGAATCCGAATTTGTAGTTTTCGGTTGTCCGTAGATTTTGAAATAATCGCAAATCTTCGGCCACTACTGTCGTAACAAATATCGTATAATACCGTTACCGTCATATAATTATTATTATTATTATTATTATTTTTTATTGGCTATCAAGAATTACTACTATATATATATATATATATATATATATATATATATATATATATATATATGTATGAAAATAATACAACAAGAGATAAAAACGAAAAAAAAAACCAAGAACAACCGTTTTCACTGTATAAAAAATAATTACATTAAAATCAAATCAAGAATCCAAAATTTTCAAAAAACGTTAATACATTAATAACAATGTGTCTAGAAAAGGTATTTAAAATAATTTGTTGATCAATTGATAAGATATTGTTACTGCCTATAAAAAAATTTAAATAGTTTTAAACGTGAACTAGTAAGTGGTGGGCAATTTAAGAAAATGTGAATCAAGCCACGGTTAACTTCTTCGGCATGACGTGTTGAAAGGCAAAAGTCATTTAAAAAAATTTCGTATTATGCTATACCATTATTTTGCTCAATGAACGTAAATGTAATTTTCAACGTTATAAACGCTTATGTTCCGTGTTGTTAACCATATTCCTATTTTTTTTTACGCGTTAGCGTTTGTTTACATATCTACTACCATAACATAATACGATGTCTCAGCTTATTTCCAGTATAGATTTACTTGATGAATATTAAACGACAATTTTATACATGCTTAATATACATAGTTAATTAACATCGAACGATTATGTTTGTGACATTGTGTCATAACTAGAACTCGAATATTACCGTATATTGTAATCATTTATATTTACCAAATTTCTAAAAAAAACATAAAATATGCATTCAAGCTAAAAAGAATACCAAAATATGCAGAAATTTTAAATTAGAGATTAAAAATTAAATAATAATTATTAGTATTTCATTTTTATTAGTATGTTATTTTTATATTTTATATTAATTTACAGTACTGGAGTTAAAATGTGATAAAATGTTTTTTTTTTTTAATTTGATCAAACGTGTATCAAAAGAAATTTAGGAAAACACAATTATACAGGTCGATAATTTATCATTTATTAACCTCTTAATTTAAATTATTTTTAAAATTCCAAAAATATGCATATAAAATATAAAATCATAACATATACAAAATAAAATAATATTATATGATTCAGTAGAACATGATTCAAATTTGTAATCAGATCCACATTCAATTGGATAAATAGAAAAAAATATGCAATTTCA